TGGATCCACAAGACTTTCCACCCACTGGCCTGTGATGTTCCTGCACTCAGCAGCACTGGCTGCGTCTGAAGAGGAAATGACAAATTGGTATCGGACATATGGGCTAATATCAGACTTATGGACTTGTTCTGGACTGGGCTGGGTCGTTTTCTGAATATACAATTGGTCTTTCTTATGCACGAGTGCCTATGAATTTGTTTCTTTAGTCAACCCAGACCAACACAGGGACAAAGGCCTGTGGGTGCTCATGCAGAAAGAGCCTGTTTGAACCCGAGACCGTAGTTTACTGGGAAGCAATGCCTGAACAGGTGTTAGTATTGCGTCCCCGTGCCCCACTATCCCTTGGCTCAGAGGAGATGCTCTGAACAAGGAGCAGGGGGGTAGACGCTTCTGCATGGTGCCCAGATCGGAGCAAGATCACCAGGGCTGGTGTGGGCGGGGGATGCGCATTCCACAGACATGCCAAGCTGACCTTCTTTACTGCAACCCACTTCTTACAGTCACAACCGCCTTTCCTGGTGCAGGTGCTCCTGTAGCCTACAAGCCAAAGCAGACCCAGCAGGGGCTGGCAAGGGCGGTACCTCTGCGCCTGGAGGGGGGGTGGGGTGCAGAAAGGGCGGGAAGTGCCTGGCCCAGGTTACGATCCCGAGGTAGAGAGGTCCTCTTTGGTAATGCAGGATGAAGGACCCTTGTTCACTGCACTAGCACTAAAACTCTGTGCCCCATCAAAGACTCCAAAAGCCAAGATAGACAAATTAGAGAAAGCATGTTCATGATCACAAAAAAGAGTTACCCACTGACCACAAACCAGACTGCCAGAAAAACTGCCCCATCCCTGTGGGAAGGAGGGCGGCTGGACTCTGTGTCACAGACTGTGGACGCACCACCAGGAGGAGCCAGGCCCTGGAGAAGGGCATCAGCAAAGAGAGAAAGAGCCAGAGACAACTGGGCAGCACCCCCTAAAAGCAGCGACCACCGCCCCCACCCAACACTGCCAAACCCACCTGACACAGAGCGCCCAGAAGGCTGAGTAACCCAGCCCACAGGGTTTCCACCCGACAGACAACAGACCCACCGGCAGGTAAACCAGACGGGGATCCCCCGGGCCAATAATGCCCCAGAAGATCCTCAACTGCCCTTCTCGTTTCCAGCCTGACGAAACCAATCCCAAGGGGCTGATGGGCGTCAGCTTACAGTCTGCTGAGGAGAAGCTGCTCAGGGGAATGCACCTCTTTCACTGCAACAGGGGCAACAACAAGCCCAAGCTGTGAGTGTGCTCGGGGTCGGGGCCGCAAGGCAAACACCAGAAATTGTTCCTGGCCATTTTCTTTAAAATTTTAAATATCTCTACAGCATCCATCCCAACGTCACAAAGCTGGTGAGGTCACGTCAGTGCTTACACATCAGTAACCTGGAGCAGTGCTCTGGTTTCACAGACCACTACAACCAAGCCTGCTACGAGAAAGGCACTTTATACAGCAGTTCTCAACACCCTGCCAGCGAGTCGATTCCCACACACAGTGACCCCTGTGGGACAAGAGAGACCTGCCCCTATGGGTTTCTGAGATTGCAACTCTTTACAGGCGTAGGAAGCTTTGTCTGTCTCCTGAGGAGAGGCTGGTGGGCTCAAACTGCTGACCTTGAGGTTAGCAGCCCAACTCGTGACCACTACAGCACCAGGGCTCCTATGTACAGTGACACGCCTCTGATTTACAAACAAACAAACCCTCAATCTGCTCTTGGGAGAATTACAGAAGTAGATGAGGTAACAGCAAGGCAATCTAGTTTTCGTCAAAAGAGCAACTGTGGCCTTACTGCCAAGAGAGCTATTCCAAAGAAGTGGCAAAGCCATGTGTCCTTTGCGATGGGGAGCTGGCCCCAGAGAAATGTGGCTGACTACACAGTGCTTCCTGGAGGGCTGGGCCTGGTCCAAGCGGCGACTGCTCAATGTTGTGCCCGGGTCCCCAGGAAGACTCAGTTGAGATCCTATCCTGGGCAAGCGGAAAAGGAAGTCATGCCCATGAGAAGTTTCATCAAAGGAATCAACCTGTGGTGTGGAAAAAGGAATTGCAAACAGCACTAGAGACAGTGGCTAAACACAACATCTCCTGGCTCTTTGTGGCTGCGGCTGCGGCAGGGCCCTTGGCGCTATGCTCCTGTCACTCCAGCAAGCAGGGGCAGACTCCCCACTCCCTCAGTCACCTCACCTCACACTGCTGGGACGCCTGGCTCCTGGCAGAATGAGAGCCAGGGCCAGCACCAAACCACTGACGCACCCCGCCACCTGCAGCCAGATGGGCAAAGTGCAGCAGCAACACAGAGGCACACAGCTGCTCCCAGGGACATGGTTAAAAACAATACCTCACATCTCACCCAGAAAGTACCTATCATGAGAGTAAATCTCTCTCATCCCTGCCCGGGGCCCAGCACTGTGGACACGAGGCTCCTGAGCTGAGCAGCATCCAGGCAAGAGGTGCCACCTAGGAGGGCGGGGATGAGGCTGGCACTTTTTGTTTTGCACTAGAGATGGCAGTTTCCAAGAACAAATTGTTACTTCATTGCCTCTGTTAGACCAGGAAGAAGCTCTTATAAACTGGTTGTGCGCGGATTAACTGTTGAGCTGCTTACCATAAGACCAGGGTTCTACCCCAACCACAGCCCTAGAATAGGATGGGTCAATGTGCTCCCATAAAGACTTTTAACTTTAGAACCCCGGTGGTGGAGTTATTAACCTCTGTCCTACAGCATCGGTGTACCTGGAACTGATTCAGTGTCAGCTTCACAACTGATGGCCTGAACTTATTTATTTACTGGTTGGCCTTCACTGTCTCACATTATAGTTTCTAATAAATGAACAACAAAGTATATGTGACCTAAGGATGAACAATCCATATATTCTTTAATTACTTCAGAAAAATCACCAGGGCTCTATAACAACATACGTGCTATCCTAAAAATTCAGGGTACTGGTGTGGGAGTCTGCACGTGCCTGCGCCGTCAGCTGTGTTTAAGCTTCCCATTCCCGGATGTTCCCTGGCCTATTGGCCTGCCTGAGTTTGGCCTTTGTGATGATTGGTGCTCGGTGGCAGGCAGCCGCCACGCTCATTGGACACCTCCGCCAGGCATCCAAGTGCACCTCATTTGCATGCGGACCTGTTTGAGGACTGATGCCTGCCATTTCTTCCATATTTGGTAGCTGCGTGATTATTGGATACTACCCGTTACACTTTATTAGCATATGATATAATGCTACCCGCCCACCATTGGGTATTTAAGCCTCTGCCTTCTGCTCAACAAATGAGGCTTGATCAGACTCCTGTCTTGTGTCTATTTCTCGTGTCTCTTGCCCCTCTTCATTCCCAGTCCCTTTTTGTTTGATGACCTGCGGGACGGGTCGTTTTGGCGCCTGAACGTGGGGCACCAGCAAGTTGAGAAGCCTCGGTTCCTGTGCCGCTGGCATCCTGCTATAACACTGAGCTGTGACACTGTGCTGTAACATCCAGCAGCTGTGCCTTTGTCGCCTGGAAAGCCTTGAGGCGATCCTCGCTCAACCACCCTGAAAACGAGGGAACCCCCTGAGGAAGCAGGCAAATCATCAAGGACTGGCCAGTGGACTGATCAGTGCCTCCACACCTCTGTTGTAGCCTGCGGAGAAGACTAAGTGGTTCAGTGGTCAAGAATTGAGTCAGCATCAGATATCCGTGGGACAGTTGCGTGATGCTTTAAAGACACGGGGAATTAAGGTTAAAGCTAAAGATTTATTTAGATTTTTTTATTTCATAAAAGACACATGTCCCTGGTTCCCTCAGGAAGGCACGGTTGATGCCCATATTTGGAACCGGGTAGGAGATTGTCTAGAAGATTATTATAAGGTTTTTGGTCCCGAAAAGGTCCCTGTGACGGCATAGTCTTATTACAAGCTCATTAAGGAAATGGAAGTAGACTACAGGCTTCCCAGGTCGACGAAAACCATTGCCCAGACAGAAGAAATATTGAAAGTCAGTTCTAAGATTGATCTTACAGAGTCTCAGCCTAAGGAATTAACAAAAAAATAATAATAATAAATAAAAATAAGCTTTCTCAGTACGGGGCTACCTCTCCATACAGCTTAGCCCTCTTGGATTCTTTGGCTGAACAATGGCTCACCCCGGGGGGATTGGAATGTGTTGGCGACTGGGGGAGACCATTTGCTCTGGAAATCTGAATTTTATGAGAATTGCTGAGAAACAGCAAAAAGAAACCTCGAGGCCAAAGCCTATATGTCCCCTGGGGACTTCAGCCACCGAAGGTTTGAAGGTGATAAAGTACAAGAGGCAGTGGATTCCAAGATCCAAAGTGAGACTATTAAACAATCCCAAGAAGCTCCTTTGCCTTCAAAAGTAGAGATAGCAGAGAAACAGAACCAGCAGAGTAGTGAGAAGCATCTAAGCTATGCAAACTTAAATCAGGTGAGAAGCAGGCAGAATGGTGCAAATGAGAAGATTTTAGGCAGAACTGAAAAAACTGAGCCAGAAGG